GACCCACCACTACCATCACCACCATCACCACCTTTCTATTATTTTTCTAGCAGACAGGTTATTTGAGTTTGGCCTTTTTGGCCTGATTTTGGCTATTTTGGCCTGAGGTTGTCCTTTTTGGCCTGAATCTGGCCTGTCTTTTAAGGAAACTATAGAAATGTGGTGGTGGTGGAGAGAAAACAATAGAAATGTGGTGGTGGTGGAGGGAAACAATAGACTTGTGGTGGTGATGGAGGGAAAAAATAGACTTGTGGTGGTGGTGGAGGGAAACAATAGAAATGTGGTGGTGATGGAGGGAAACAATAGACTTGTGGTGGTGGTGGAGGGAAACAATAGAAATGTGGTGGTGGTGGAGGGAAACAATAGACTTGTGGTGGTGGTGGAGGGAAACAATAGAAATGTGGTGGTGGTGGAGGTAAACAATAGAAATGTGGTGGTGGTGGAGGGAAACAATAGAAATGTGGTGGTGATGGAGGGAAACAATAGACTTGTGGTGGTGGTGGAGGGAAACAATAGAAATGTGGTGGTGGTGGAGGGAAACAATAGAAATGTGGTGGTGACGGAGGGAAACAATAGACTTGTGGTGGTGGTGGAGGGAAACAATAGAAATGTGGTGGTGGTGGGGGGAAACAATACAAATGTGGTGGTGATGGAGGGAAACAATAGACTTGTGGTGGTGGTGGAGGGAAACAATAGAAATGTGGTCGTGGTGGAGGGAAACAATAGAAATGTGGTGGTGATGGAGGGAAACAATAGACTTGTGGTGGTGGTGGAGGGAAACAATAGAAATGTGGTGGTGGTGGAGGGAAACAATAGAAATGTGGTGGTGATGGAGGGAAACAATAGACTTGTGGTGGTGGTGGAAGGAAACAATAGAAATGTGGTGGTGATGGAGGGAAACAATAGACTTGTGGTGGTGGTGGAGGGAAACAATAGAAATGTGGTGGTTGTAATGATCAGCGGTATTTTGTATGAGTGTAAGCGTGCGCATGACCACCTGGGTCAGCCATGTTGGAATAAAAAACTTGGATCCTGTTTACTAAGCTGTTTTATCCAGATCCATCGTGCTATCAGATAAAGAACATTACATGGTGTCAGAAGTAAAGTACGAACAAGAACCTCAGCCATCGATATGGCGAAGATTTGAATAAAATACAGGCCGTATTTCAGAGCAATCAACATCGGCGATCGTAATTCATGTCACAGGATCAGTCGATTCCTATCACGCCCGCGGGGGAAGAAAACACTGCAGAAGTACAGCATTTACAAGTTGAAGACGAAGAAAACACAGAGGAAATACAGCAACCAGTTGAAGACGAAGAAAATACACCTGAAATGGCGATGCATTTAGGTCTTCCACCTCCAGAAGCTCTCGACTTGAGTGGAGGAAACATATCAGCCAATTGGAAGAAGTTCAAACAGAAATATACAAATTACGAAATTGCGACGGGAATAAGTTCGAAGGATAGTGCAACCAGAGTAGCAACACTTCTAACAGTTATTGGCAACGATGCTATTGATGTTTTTAACACTCTAACTTGGGACGAAGAAGGCGATGACAAAAAAATCGAAAAGGTGCTGTTGAAATTTGAGGAACACTGTGAACCCAAGAAAACTGTCAGCTACGAGAGATACAAATTCTTCTCAAGAGCCCAAGAAAGCGGCGAAAGCATCGACCAGTACGTAACAATATTAAGAAAGCTTTGTGAAACATGTGAATTTGGAACATTGAAGAACTCTCTCATCAAGGACCGAATTGTACTTGGTGTAAACAACACAAAAACAAGAGAAAGATTACTCAGGGTGCCAGACCTCACACTTCAGAAAGCATTAGATGTGGTACGATCTGCAGAAGCTACGGATATGCAAATGAAAGAACTGGACGACTCATCAGTGCATGGAATTGGAAGGGAGAAGAACAAGTCAACCGACAAGAAAACACCTTCAGATAATGAGGAAAAAAGACCCCCAAGCAAGAAGTTCAATTGCGGGAACTGTGGAACAAGACATGGCGCAAGGGAGTGTCCTGCATATGGCAAAACATGTAACTATTGTCAGAGACGAAATCACTTCCAGAGTGTATGCACATCACGGAAAAAAGTCCATGAACTGGGTGTAGAGCAACAAGTAGGAAATATTCCTGACTCAACCCTATTTGTAGCAGCTGTCACTACTGAAGTTCGGATCCAGAATGAGGAGTGCTATGTGATGTTGCCAGTGAAAGAACATATCACAAAACTCAAAATTGACACGGGTTCTCAAGTTAACCTCATGCCGTTCAAAGACCTAAAGAAGATAGTTGGAAGCAATCCACAGATAAATGCCTGCACACATAATCTAGTCAGTTACTCTGAAGATAAGCTAACTGTACTTGGCACAGCTACACTACCAGTGAAATCTAAAACAGATGTAGAACATGAGCTGACATTCCACATAGTGGAGACAAATCAACCAGGATTATTGGGGCTCACAGCATCCCAAGATCTGGGTCTAATAAAAGTAGTTATGGTGGCCAAGACAGAAGAAAAGCAAACTGAACCAGACAAAAGTGAAGAGGTTACGAAGTTGTCTGAAGAACTGAAAGAAGAAGTACTGCAGAAATACACGCAGGTATTCACTGGGTTGGGACGCTTGGAGAAACCTTACCACATTGAAGTAGACCCTACTGTGACACCTGTCGTAAACCCACCTAGAACGGTCCCAGCAGCTCTTCGCGACAGAGTGAAAGAAGAACTGGATGACATGGAAAGGAGAGGAGTTGTTCGCAAGATAGAAGAACCCACAGATTGGGTCAATTCTATGGCCATTGTTGAAAAGCCTAATGGTAGTCTGCGGATTTGTTTAGATCCAAGGCACCTCAATAAAGCAATAAAGCGGGAACACTTTCAGCTTCCCACCATCGAAGACATCGCTACATGCATGGCAAATGCAAAATGGTTCACTAAGCTTGATGCAAACCGAGGATACTGGCAGATACCTCTTGATGAAGAAAGTCAACTTCTAACCACCTTCAACACACCTTTCGGGCGGTACTGCTATCAGGTCACTCCATTCGGAATCACATCTGCTCAGGAAGTTTTCCAAAAGCGGATGAGTCGACATTTTGGCGACCTGGAAGGAGTTGAAACCGACATCGATGACATAATAGTGCATGCAGAAACAGAAGTTAAACACGACCATCGTGTACACGCTGTCCTGGAACGATGTGAGAAGATCAACCTAACACTGAACAAAGAAAAGTGCGTCTTTAAAGTCAAAGAAGTCACCTACATTGGTCACAAACTCACACAAGAAGGAATCAAACCTGATGATGAAAAGGTGCGTGCCATCAATGACATGCCTGCACCAACTGACAAGAAAGGAGTAGAAAGACTCCTTGGAACAGTCAATTACTTGGGCAAGTTCATCCCAAATCTGGCAGCTGTCACTGAACCTATCAGAGTTCTACTACGAAAGGACATTGAGTTTCAGTGGGCACGTGAACAAGAAAAAGCACTTCATGAAATTAAAAGCATCCTAACTAAAGATGGAGGGCCAGTCCTGAAATTCTTTGATGTACAAAAGCCTGTTACGATCAGCTGTGATGCCTGCCCAACCGGCCTAGGAGGGGTGCTGCTACAAGAAGAACGTCCTGTTGCCTATGCGTCAAGATCCCTCACTGACGCAGAATCAAGATACGCTCAAATTGAGAAGGAACTCTTAGCTGTTCAGTTCAGCTTAGAACGTTTCCACCAATACATCTATGGAAAGAAAGTTACCATCGAGTCAGATCACAAGCCACTTGAGGCCATCGTTAAAAAGGCACTAGCATCAGCACCACCAAGACTACAAAGAATCCTGCTTAGAATGCAGAAGTATGACTACACTTTGGAATACAAGCCAGGAAAGGAGTTAGTGCTTCCGGCTATGCTCTCTAGAGCACCACTGCCTGAAACAGCATATGGCAGCATGGAAGAAGAAATTGTACTACATGTCCATTTGCTAACTTCTAACCTACCAGTCTCGAAGCCCAAACTAGAAGAAATTAAAGAAGCCACAGCTAATGACCCATCATTGAAAGAACTGAAGGATGCGATCAAGTCAGGATGGCCAGAAACAAAATCTTGCACACCAGCAAGTATTCAAGTCTACTGGAATGTAAGAGATGAGCTCTCTGAAGTCGAGGGTGTTATTCTCAAAAACGACAGAATACTAGTCCCGTCATCTATGAGAAAAGAAATGCTACAAAGGATACATCAAGGCCACATGGGGATCGAAAAGTCCAAACGACGAGCAAGAGATGTCCTATACTGGCCAGGAATGAATTCTCAAATCAGCGACATGATATCAAGGTGCACCACCTGCTTAGAGCATCAACGGCAAAACACGAAAGAGCCAATGATCCCTTCTCGCTTACCGCGCAAGCCCTGGGAAATGGTCGCCACAGACTTGTTCAACTGGGACAAATCTGAATACCTGATAGTTGTTGACTATCACTCCAGATATTTCGAAATAGCCAAACTACCAGACACCAAAAGCACCACAGTCATCACCTACACTAAATCTATATTTGCCAGACATGGAATACCATCCGAAGTAATCAGTGACAATGGTCCCCAGTACTCCTCAAAGGACTTTTCACTGTTTGCTAAACACTGGGAATTCAAACACACTACTGTCAGTCCACTGTACCCCCAAGGAAATGGTCTTGTTGAGAAAGAAGTACAAACAGTGAAAAATCTACTAACCAAAGCAAAACAAGATCGCAGGGATCCTTATTTGGCACTACTTGAGTACAGGAACACACCAATAGATGATATTGGTTCACCAGCGCAACTGCTTATTAGCCGGCGATTAAGATCAATCATTCCCACTACCAACGCACAGTTGCAGCCTAAAGTCCTTAATCCACACAAGTTATGGAGAAACTGAGGCTCAAACAGGAAAAACAAAACCACTATTTTGATCAGCATGCCAAACATCTTCCCACATTAGAGAAAGGTGACCGGATCAGAGTACAGATGGGGAGCCATTGGAAACCAGGCGTTGTAACAGAACACGCAGAAACACCAAGATCCTATAGGATTCGAACTGATGAAGGTAGAGAATACCGCAGAAATAGAAGAGCATTAATAAAATCACCAGAAAGTGGTCTATCAGCAACAGACATCTCACCTCATCCTTAGTCTCCAACCGTGAGAGCAAATGAGCATTCAACCTCAAAGGAAGCAGCCAATCAAGCAATCCCATCTGTTGAAGAGCCCATTTCGACATCCCAAGAGCAAGGGGAAATGTATTCATCCGAGGAGGAAATCTCAGAGCCTCTCAAGACAGCAAGTGGAAGAACTGTGAGAAGGCCTTTGCGTTTCAAGGATTATGTTATGTGACACTGAACTCATCATTGATATGGAAGGTTGATAAACATTGTTTCGAAGGTTCTGTTAGTCACAGTTTGCAAATTTCTCACAAGTTGAAATTAGAGGAAACATTTTGAACTTTACATGAAATTGTTGTCCTTTTGACATTAGACCGTATTACCAATCTTGGTATCAAGGTGTACTTATCCTTTTTGTTTATTACTTCGGCGGAGCGCGAAGTAAAGGTTTCGCGACGCTCAGGAATGTATCAAAGTTACAATTTTTTGACAAGATTGGGCATGCAAAGTCTGTAGGTTTTCGGTTTTATTCGGCTACTTCACGAAGTGAGAGCCGAATTAATTCGAGATATCTCGAGATCACTCCGATTTCTTTGATTTATTCTTTAACTTTTTCGAGGAAGAAAGAATTATTATTTTGGCTTTCCTGGGGTTTGAACCGACTCACCTGTGTGACCCGTCAGATCAGAGGAGACTCTAAGTTGAGGGATTAACCAATTGCGCTACTGCGACCCAAGGTAGGTTGGCATATGAAAAATGGTTATGAAATGATGCACTAGTTTCGGGACAAGATTGGGCGTGCAAGTTCGTGACTTTTCGACTTGTTTCAACTATTTCACGAAATGAGACCGGACTACTTCGTGATATCTTGAGATCACTTCGAGTTTAGTCTTTAGTTACTCGAGGAATAAATAGAGGATATTTCGCGGCCGCGCAGAGACACGAAATTTTTCTTCGAGTGTTGAAAAACATTTCACGAGTGAGCCCTCCTTTCGAACTGTTTTATGATGAATTTAAAGTTACAAAATGCTGCACAAAGACATTTTGTCTTTGTTGAGTGTTACGTAGTAAAATTGCTTTCATGCGTTGCGTGACTTTCTCGAACGTTCTCTACGTTTTTGGATTACCATGAATAATTAATTAGGGCATGTTTACATTTCAGCATGAGTCAGCAGATTTGCATCAGTTACTGAAATCATAAAATATGTCGAAAAGCTACTACTATTCGCCTGCTGTTAAGTATTTTCTAGAACCTTATGTCAAACGGTATACAAGTTCCAAGCGAGTTCTTTTGAAGAACTAAGTTTTTTCCCACGAGCTGGACTGCTGTGTTTAGTCAAGTGTGACGAAGGTCGATTTTCAGGTATTGTGTTTACAAGTTCGCGGAAGCCGTAAGATATCTGAAGTTCAAGTCAGAGTTTGTTATTATTGGTAGAGGCTGTTTAGTTTTACTCAAAGTTCAAGTCAAGTTTGTGTTGGTGGATGCTGTGTTTTAAAGCTCTGTAAAGGCTATGTTCCTTTGGTGTTAAACTTCCTTGTGTGAATCCGACATCCCTGCGTGCTGATAGTCAGTGAATAATTATCCTCACAACATTCGAACTCGTGACTTTGAGTTTTAGCCAATTCCATGCTCAACGTAATTGACTCCTTACCCACGCCTTACATATCTTTAACCCATTCGCCCCTGAACCGCCCGTAACCGCCCGTGCGGATCCAGGTCCTTTCTACCCTTTGTGACGTCATCAGTTTTAACGGTCAAGGACAACTTTCTTCGCTAACTTGTGCAGAGTGAAGAGATCTTTCAAACCATACCAGAATGAGCACAATTCAGTCAAGGACACCGGAGAAAGAAGCAAAAAACCACGTGACAAGGACCTGAAAATCCTCATGAAAATCTTGTTCCATTACCCACCTACCTTTCCTTTCACCTAATCCTAAGATCCTAAAAGCTTTCCTAAAAACTCTTCCCACCAAAATGAAGCCTACTAAATGCCCAGCAAGAGAAAAAAAAAATGAGGCAAGAAAAGCGAAAAAAGAAGGGAGGAGAGAAAGCGAAAAGTAAAAGTCAAGACTGCTGTGTCACTTTTTGCGCATGCCCGAACTTCGCAAGCTGATATTTTGCATCTGGATCAGAAGGCCGCCAAGTGTACGACCTGTAAACCGGTTTGTGGTAAGTTTTAGCTCTTTATAGCACGACAGTGACCAGAAAACCACTCGACTAGCTTCAAAACGCGTTTTTCGGGAAAATCTCCAGGAGCGAATGGGTTAATCAGTACATGAGACTGCTATGCTGTTTTTGAAGCCTGATGTGACTAAGGAAAATAGAGAATTGTTTTTTTAGAAGGATTTGTATGGAGTCATCAGAGCATAACTGGGCTAATATCTCGGAGACAATTTGTCCCGAAATGCTAGTTTTTGGCAAGTAGGTCTCTTGGATGTTGCTCTTTTCAGAATATCCTGACAAATCCCATAATTTCACAAATTAACACCTTACTCTCACTATATTTGATTTCTTACTATTCCTCCGCATTTACAATTGATTAGTTCCACAACCACGACGCCGAAGTGTACGCTCCGTAGCGTCTTGTTTGTTTTCTTTTCGTTTTTGTTAGGGGAAAGTTGTAATGATCAGCGGTATTTTGTATGAGTGTAAGCGTGCGCATGACCACCTGGGTCAGCCATGTTGGAATAAAAAACTTGGATCCTGTTTACTAAGCTGTTTTATCCAGATCCATCGTGCTATCAGATAAAGAACATTACAGTGGTGATGGAGGGAAACAATAGAAATGTGGTGGTGGTGGAGGGAAACAATAGAAATGTGGTGGTGATGGAGGGAAACAATAGACTTGTGGTGGTGGTGGAGGGAAACAATAGAAATGTGGTGGTGGTGGAGGGAAACAATAGAAATGTGGTGGTGATGGAGGGAAACAATAGACTTGTGGTGGTGGTGGAGGGAAACAATAGACTTGTGGTGGTGGTGGAGGGAAACAATAGAAATGTGGTGGTGGTGGAGCGAAACAATAGACTTGTGGTGGTGGTGGAGGGAAACAATAGAAATGTGGTGGTGATGGAGGGAAACAATAGACTTGTGGTGGTGGTGGAGGGAAACAATAGAAATGTGGTGGTGGTGGAGGGAAACAATAGACTTGTGGTGGTGGTGGAGGGAAACAATAGAAATGTGGTGGTGGTGGAGGGAAACAATAGAAATGTGGTGGTGGTGGAGGGAAACAATAGAAATGTGGTGGTGGTGGAGGGAAACAATAGACTTGTGGTGGTGGTGGAGGGAAACAATAGAAATGTGGTGGTGGTGGAGGGAAACAATAGAAATGTGGTGGTGTGGCGGTGGAAAAAAGTGGTGATTGTATATAGTTTCACGAAGCTGTGTTGAAAAAAGTTGAGTCTAGGGTCGATGTAGGGTCGATGCAGGGTTGATAAGGGGTCGATGTATTTGGATGGAAAAATATATAGAATAAATGAGGAGGAGGGAATAAAAAATTGAGGAGGGAATATAATAAAATTGTGGAGGAGGGGGGAAATAAAAATGAAAAGGGAGAGGGGTAAGTAAAACATTGTGCGCACTGCAAAAAAAAACAAGATAGCTTGCCTTCTTTGACTATTTTAATAGAATCTTTAATCTTATCTTTTTGCAGTTATTTTAATAAAGGGTCATAAAGTTGATTTCTTGTGTCTTAAGAAACGTGTCTGGTTTTATTCCGAGTGTTTATTAATAAGATGCGTGTTTTAATTGATCCTTCTTAAGCTAATTGTTTTTTGTTTTTATAATAATAAGTCGTGGTTCTCCCTTGAGGTTTTTACTGTAGAGCTGAACCAATTTGTATCACATAATTAACTGACTAATGATGCGTGAAACAAGCGAACTCTTGGGTAGAGGAACACGCGTTCAAAAGAGCTTGAAGCTCATCAACGTTGGTAACGAAAGTCATGATACTCAAAAGGTGAATAAAAGTTTTCTTAAAAGAACCGAATTCAAACAAATAATTTTCCTAGCAAATTGAACTTGCAAGAATAAAATGCTGAACGGAGAGCGCGCCTTTATTTCGAAAACGTAATAGATTCTAGAATATCCAATCAGGGTGGGAATAGGACAGGCAAGTCTATTGTTCCTATTGTGTTCTTCCATATGAAAAAAAAACGACTATCCACTTAATTATATATGGAGGAGCTCACTTGTACAGTAGGTCGAGATTTTAGTAGAAAGGTGACGTCATTGACTATCCCTAAAGCGACTATCCCCAAACTATCCTTTGCTATCCCTAACTGAGGCTTAATTTTCAACATAGTACACTACTATCGGGATTAGTGTTTTAACTGGTTGTGCTTGTGGAAAGTCATATTGTTCACTTCTAATGTGGTTTCTTAAACGGAAAAAAAAGTAGGGACATGAGGTATGATACTACCAACTATTACATCCACCTCGCTAATACGGCCAAATTCTTATAGCCCGTTACTGGTCGTACTAACGGGTTTCCATTTTATACAGCTATTTCGTGAGAGGTTTTTCGGAAAAATGTGCATGCACGGGACAATCCCGAAAGGTATTGTTGGATATGATCAATACACTGTTCCTGACACTGTAGCTGTCGAACTTACTTTTGTTGCTTTCCTTTAGCACTCGCAAACGTAAGTCCATCGCCTCTCGTGCCATTCTTGTAAATTTCTTTGAAGAACAAGGAACTCAAAGCCACCCACAATACCTTTCAGGCTTGTCGCGTGCGCTTTTCCCGACAACCTTTCTCGACAGAGCTGTATTTATGTGACAATCAATCTACTCACTTAGGTCTGTACGCAGCAGCTCATAAACGGGACATTGAGTGGATTATCATTAAAGGCGTCTCTGAAAATGCAGATGGCAGCAAATCTGACAAAACGTCTTGGAGAAAATTCGCCAGTTTAATGGCAGCCTCCGTAACGGCTCATATTCTTAGTGATACCCGTGTTTTCCAAGGCTGGCCTCACTGTGGAAGTACAAGTAAGAAGTGGGAATTCGGCTAATGTCTAGGTTTCATAAAGTTTGTCCCTCAACACCAGCAGATCTACTTGGCGAAAATCCAATGTGACATGGTCCAGTTCTGCTCTCCTGCCTGTCATCTGACACTACGGACCTTAAGATCCGAGGACGCCGACGGCAGAGAAAACGTCGCTGAAAAAGTGAATTCGCGTTCTTTCAATCTTCATCGCGATTACTCCAAGTCACTAACTTTGTCAAATGTG